TGTCCATTATTATGAAGTCAGTCGGTATGTAAAATTGTCCTATTCAGACAAGAATGTTTTCTAGCATACCAACAAGAAATTTGACTGACCTGTCGGCTAGTTGTAGGGACATCTTGGTAGGTATCATGTCGCCTAATTTGAGCTTCTCGCAAATAGATAAGGGCATTAGACTGACACTGGCTCCTAAATTGCATAGAGCTTTGTCTATGACAGATTTTCCAATTACACATGGTATGGAGAAACTACCAGGATCTTTTAGCTTTGGAGGCATGTTATTTTGAATTATAGCGCTACATTCGGCAGTTAGCATAACGGTTTCGTTCTCAACGATTTTTTTCTTATTAGCCAATATTTCTTTTAGGAATTTAGCATATGACGACATTTGGGTTATAGCTTCTGTAAACGGAATAGTGATGTTTAATTGTTTCAGAAGTTCTACAAATTTCTTGAATTGTCCCTCGTTCTTGGATTTTGCAAGTCTTTGGGGGTATGGAATTGGTGGTTTATATGGTGGTGGAGGCACATAAGGTTTTTCTGAAGCCTCTCTGTTCTCATTCGGGTCTTCCTCTACATTTTCAGATTGATCTTTCGACTTCTCCATTTCTTTTTCGGGCTTTTGATACATGGTCAGGTTTTGGAGTCTAGGATCTACCGGTCCATCAAGGGTTGTCCCACTTCGTAATGTGATAGCATTTGCATGTCCTTTAGGATTGGGCTGTGGCTGTCCAGGAAATGTACCAGCAGGTGTGGCAGAACTAGCTTGGTGTTGTGCTACTTGGGAGATTTGGGTTTCTAACATTTTGTTGTGATTTGCTAGGGCATCTACCTTGTTTGCTAATAGCTTCAATTGTTCACCGGTGTGAACGTTTTGATTGAGGAATTCTTTGTTTTGTTGGGCTTGATTAGCGATACAATTTTCCATTAGGATTTCAAGGTTAGATTTCTTAGGAATGTTAGGAACATTAACAGCGGGTTTTTGATCCCCTGGAGGTACAGCAGGTGCTTGGCCAGGTGCATATAAAGCGTTATTGCTCTTGTACGAGAAGTTAGGATGGTTCTTCCAACCAGGATTATAGGTATTGGCATAAGGATTTCCTTGAGCGTAATTTACCTGATCAGCTGATATTCCTGCTAAGATTTGACATTCGGTTCCAACATGACCAGTAACTCCACAAACTTCGCAGCTTGGGGTAACTGCAGCCACGGTAGCTGCAGGAGGCAAGGTCAAGCTTTCTATCTTTTGGGTAAGAGCATCTACCTTAGCATTAACTTTATCTAGGCTACTAACCTCGTACATCCCGCCTTTGGCTTGAGTTTTCTCCACAAATGTTCTTTCTCCTCCCCACTGATAGTGGTTTTGAGCCATGTTTTCAATGAGTTGGTTAGCTTCGTCATAAGGCTTGTCCATCAGTGTACCACCTGCGGCGGCATCTATAGAGAGTCTTGTGTTGTACAAGAGTCCATTATAAAACGTGTGGATTATCAGCCATTTTTCTAATCCGTGATGTGGGCACATTCGCATCATATCTTTGTAGCGCTCCCATGCATCGAATAGCGATTCAGTATCCTTCTGCCTAAATCCGTTGATTTGGGCTCTTAGTGCAGCGGTCTTGCTTGGGGGAAAGTATCGTGCCAAGAATACAATCTTCAGTCCTTCCCACGTAGTGACAAAATTTGATGGCAAGGATTGCAACCAAGCCCAAGCTCTATCTCTTAGTGAGAAAGGGAAAAGACGTAATCTTATCGCATCTTTACTAACACCGTTCGCTATAACTGTGTCGGCAAATTGAACGAATTTTCTAAGATGTTCATTCGGATCCTCAGAAGGATCTCCAGAGAATTGGCGTTGTTGGATAGCTGATATCAACGACGGTTTCAACTCGAAATCGTTTCGGTTTATTGCTGGAGCAGCAATGCTGTTATGGGGTTCTTGTTGTGATGGAGCTGCGTACTCCTTCAGTGGACGGGTCCTTTGTTCTTCGTCCATGTCTAATTCTGGATTGGTTTCGGTTTCAGAGGAAGAATTAGAATCTGTTTCAGAATCAATCTTGATTTCGGGTTTAGGTAAAGGAATAGCGTGATTTAAACAGTAATCCCTGACTGCACGTCTTACGAAAAGAATGCGTTTAGGTTCGTCCGTCGATTTATCAAGTGGTTCGCCTTGTGAGCGAGTCCTTGGCATACAAATCGAAAAAGGGTATCTGTTGCTTAGTCTAAACGCGCAACAGAAGAATCGTAATTAATTGACTACCAGTCCCCAGCAACGGCGCCAAAAACGTGATCGGGACTTTATGAGTCTGTCGGGATACTAACTGCAAGTATACAGTTCAGTCGTTCTAGTTTTAAAAGATTATCGAACCCACAGAGACTGAGGATCAATCACATACGATCTAATGCTACAGTTTGTCTAACTAAGCGATGGATATTCGATTTTTGGGGGAAACAGTTTAATTAAAAATAATAGTACTAGTTATACCGGTATGTGATAATCAGACTTAGGGAATTCGGTGAATCGCTTGGCCTATAAAGTATTTCGGTAAAAGCTAATTGTTTAAAAACCTGAGACATACACTCTCGTGTTTATGAAATAAGTCATGCTACTAAACCTAGTGGATGCACTTTAAATTTAATAACACTTTTTGAAAACAATTTGAGTTTAATTAATTTATTAAAACACTCTCGTGTATTTAAAAATCAATGTTTCGTTACCACTATCTGGGTTGAACCCCAGCTCTCGCATGCAGGTTCTTGCCTTAATTAATTTCCCACTCTCGTGGAAAAATCGTGTTAATTAACCTCTCACTCTCGTGACAAGGTTAGTTAAATTAATCTTGGAAATTGGAAACCAGAAATTTGTTTTATAAATATTTTTGGCCAAGGTTGTTGCACCCCAAAATTTGCCCTCCTAATTTCTTCTATTTTGGCTTAGGCTTTTGCATTCATCTGCATCTATTTCATTAGGTCACTAACATGGCACACATTTCATTCAATATAGCTCTGAGGTTCAAAGTCCAGTGGTTGTGCGATACTAGGGTTTCACAGCGGTTAAGGCGCCCGTATTCAATAAAGAATAATTTCTTATTTCAGACAGCGAGTTGTGGAATTAGGGTTTTGATTCATTCTCATTTTTTGGACTTATTCTCCCTCAAGCAACAAGGCTATTATTTGCTGATAAACAACAGGTTACGGGTTTGTCTTGTCAAGAACTCAGGGGCGTGACTTAGCATACATGGTCTTTGAATCAAGATGTCTCCTCATATAAGTGTGCCTATCATTTGATCAGGCTTAATGGCTTCGACATGGCATTCATCCACTCTTCAATTAACCAATTCAGGTTTTGTTGAATCATGATTCAAGAACCATTGGTTGTGAAGCTCGGGTTTTCTTTTGGTTTGAGGTGTTTATCAAACAAGACTGATTCTTCTAGAACATTAAATTGTGAGTTTAGGGTTTTGATTGTTGGTTGTTCTGGATTTCTTCTTTATCAAGCTACGAGGTTATTCTCTTCATCTCAAAATCAAGTTGCAAGGTTTTATTTTTTAAAGTCTGAAGATTTGAGTTTATTTCTTTATGTCTATTGGAAGATCATGCTTTGTTTCATTTCGAAGACATTTTGAACATTATTCTATCCATGTCTCAAGTCGTCACTGTGCACCTAATACAAGCGGGTTAAGGTTTTGCATTTTTGTGTGTGAGTTTGTTGATGTTCATCAATGAGGAATGATTAGAGGATATCCTTCTAAGCTTCAAATTTTATCTTCTTCAAGGATCCCACAAAGACATTTTTTGACAAAACAAAGGACTTGTGGGGTTGAATTGAAAATTATGAGGTCATGGCATAAGGAATGGTACCATAGATTCATGTTGATCAAGGCCATTTTTGTTCTCATCATCGTTAGTTTTTGCTCACAATACAAGTCAATATGGATTAGTAGTTTTAAGGATATCTTGGTTATAATTCTTCCATATTTCCATCTTCGTCCTCAAAAACATTATATTTGTGTGAGAATGAGCTTCGGTTTTGTTCAATAATTTGATTCAAGCAAAATTGGAAGATTCCAGCGAGACTTCATGGACGAAAACTAAGTTAACTCTTGTGGACCAAATTATTCCATATTTCGTGATTTAGAGGATATTTGAAAATTATTGGATATACTTGACATCTAAAGATATTTTAAGACATGAGAAAGCATATGTGAAATCAAAGGTTCGAATGAAAAGCAAGTTTCATTACTGTCATTGAATATTTGTTCAAAATTACCGCACTCTATTAAGAAACAAGTCATGACTTCATACAAACTATTTACACCAAGCATAAACCACTTTTCACCATCGCACCAGTTTCTGGAGCCATGACGGACAGGAAAACCATTGATTTAGATCAAGGTTGGGCCTATATGCAGAATGGGATTAAGAACTTGAAGACAATTCTTGAAGGATCGTCGAAAACTCAGTTCAGTTCGGAGGAATACATGATGTTGTACACCACGATTTATAACATGTGCACTCAGAAGCCGCCGCTTGACTATTATCAAGATCTGTATGACAAATACAAGGGGGTTTTTGAGGAATACATTAGATCAACTGTTTTGTCTTCGGTAAGAAATAAACATGACAACAGTTATGAAATAATGAATCAGTTGAAATCTTCTCGCATCCATAAGAGTATCAGAGGGGAAATATTATGTTTGTGGAAACTGCTTGATTCTCATTTTCGGCTGAATTCCTCCAAGTATGTCGAGCACGACAGTATGTTTGGTGTTTCTGTCGAAAGTATGATTACAAAGAATCAATTTTCCGTGGAGACGTTGTTTTATTGTTGGATATGTTGGAAGGATAACATTGTCCAGATGCTGGATTTCCTTTCAAATTTCAAAACTCTAGAGCCTCAAGTAGCAAAGCAGTTACGTGAAGTTTGCATTGAATTATTTGGGTGTTCAGAAGCAGATTTATAATCAACAAGCATGTACCCTTTGCTCATCCCTGATGCTAATTGGGTGATGAAATTGGGAGATAAATTTCTAAACAAGAATGGGAGGCTAGTCTCTGTTGATGTTCAACCTTTAGTCTCTTATGCTCAGAGATATTGGAGTTCAGAATTATTATCTGTTGACAGAGATGTTTTGCGCAACCTCAATGCACTCTACAGTTTTTCAGTTAATAAAGCTTTTCCCGAGTTCCGTCAAGCACAACCTCTATTGAATATCTATGAAATCTCAAAGTTTCTTCTCAAGTCCAAGTGTTTTAGTCATGGCCACGGTAACTTGAAAATGTTGGAGACATTTTACAGGCTGCCAATTGAGTGTTTATTCCGCTTTATAAATCCCGTTGACTGGAAGAATTCACTGGAAAAAGAAATATGATTGATCAAAGGATAACTGATGTTTGGCAGGATATTAGGAAAGAGCTCATCTATGAAAACATTAGACAAAAAGGTAAATTGACCTACGGTCTAATTGGAAGGGTGGTGGTTATGATTCTTGGCACGGCTAATGTTAAAGATGAACTGTTTGTGCAAATTATGACAAAGTTTGAAGCAAACAAACCATGGAAAGATTTCATTGAGAGCTTACGTTTGTGTTCAGAACATGAAAATGTACCGGGCAATAAGGCAGTTTTAGAGATACATTGCATGGTTAAGCTTCAGGAAGCATTGAAGGATACTTGCAACGTGAATTGGGTAGCGGAAGTCGACTATGTAGCTCCTGGTTGCTTTATGTATCTTGTTGAGTGGTTACTGCTATTGACATCATGCTTGAAGGGGTCCATTTATGCTACAAAGTCATCTTTCACTTAATGGCTTATTAGCCAAAATGAAAATTCTCTTACAAATCTGAGTTTTATGGCTGTACAATGGAAAGACATGAGCGATGTCCATGATTTCGTTGCGAATATCCTCTGTGATTTCATCTGTGACAAAAATAGTACCAAACTCTGGATAAATAAAATCGAACTTAAATGTGAAGAATCATTTTCCTTCGCTTCTCTTGAGATTGTTTGTTTTGATTTGTCTTCTTCATCTCAGCTCTGGCAATGAGAAGTATTTGCAGTTACTTCGCAATTTGTTGGGGCAGAAAAACATAACCACTTAATTGCCGTTTGATTTTTGCAATTTTCTTCAAAAGGGAAAGAAACGCCTGGGTTTGAAAGTCTTTGCCGAGGCGTTTAAAGTAATTGGCAACCCATTGGTAATTTCCAAGCTTAGGAACACTTCTTCCCAAATCGCTTGTCCAGATGCTGTGTTTGTGGATTTAACAACATGCAGAAAAAGAGAGCTCATACTTGAAACGCTATTTCCTAGTATAGTTGGCAATGTGAATGGGGACACCCATGTAAAATTTATGTCAGAAACATCTGTGAAAGTAAATGAAATCTCAATAAAGGAAATCCCTATCAGTGGATCTCCTCTAGAGTGCAATGAACAGGGTGATCCATCTAAAACTTTTGATATCCCACAAAATGTGAAAATACAAACTGTTGATGGTTTAGGATCAAAGAGGTATTCTGACCCAAAGTTGGAATCGAGTTTAAATGTTTCCACTCAGTTTCCTTCGGCAAATGACCATCTTCAAGTACATCAAAACTTTCCAGTTTCTATAAATATTAAACCTGTTCGTCCAATCGTTGATTCAAAGGTATTAAACCAGAGTGCTTCACTGCATTCACCTGTTTCCATATTGCAAGATTCAGATGAGGGGTTCTGGAAGCCATTTTCTGATATTCAGAAGATAGACATAAGGGAATTTCAGAAAAGTTTCTTTCCAAAATTTTAATATCTTTGCAACTCTATTTCCGAACACGCGCCCACATCAAATCAATTCACCACTGAGTAAGGTCCAAGGTTGCACATTCCTCTCAAGACTGACAATCATGTCGTGTCTGACTTTGAGGGTGAACCATCAAGCATAATTGCTTGTGCACTGTCCTTGTTGAAAGACTCATCTGAGATGTCGAAAATTGATGGTGATGTGAAAGAAAGTGGGATAACTTCAAAATCTACAGATTCTTTGCACGACTCTCTAGATTCAGATTCTGCGCATTCTACTGGAAGCGTGTCTTCAGAAGAGTCACGATCATTTTGTGCTACAGAAGACCATAGAAAAGAAGTTCATCTGGGTTATGCAAAAATCACTTGGGAGGGAAAAATATTCCGTGGTTTGTCATTATTATAAGCAGTTCCGTGCACTTAGAAATTGTTGTTGCCCATCTGAGATTGATTATATTGCTTCTTTAAGCCGTTGTATGAATTGGGATGCCAAAGGTGGAAAAAGCAAGTCCTTTTTTGCCAAAACACTTGATGAGAGGTTCATCGTAAAGGAAATCAAGAAGACGGAACTTGAAGCATTTTTGGGATTCTATTCTCTATATTTCAAACACATGAGAGAGTCATTTGAGTCTGGGAGCCAAACATGTCTAGCAACAGTCTTGGGGATATATCAGGTTACTAGAAGACACATTAAAAGTGGAAAAGAGGTTAAACATGACCTCATGGTGATGGAAAATCTTATCTACAATCGAAATATTGTACGCCAGTATGATCTTAAAGGTGCTCTTTTTGAGCGGTATACTTCTGATGCTACTGGTGCTGAGGATGTTCTTCTGGATCAGAACTTTATGGAAGACATGAACTCTTCCCCGTTATATGTCAGTCACAAAGCAAAGCGAGTTCTTCAGCGTGCTATTTGGAATGACACATCTTTTCTCAATTCAATCAATGTGATGGATTACTCCTTACTTGTGGGAGTTGATTCTCAGAAGCGCGAGCTTGTTTGCGGAATCATTGATTATCTCAGGCAGTATACCTGGGACAAGCATCTTGAGACATAGATGAATTCTTCACTTGTAGTGCCCAAGAATCACATGCTAACTGTAATTTCTCCAAAAGAATACAAGAAGCGGTTAGTTTATGTCTACATTTTGTTTTAGTGTACCAGATCACTGGTGCTCTCAAAAGTCCCATATTCCTTGCAAAACTTTGTTGCTCAGGAAAAGACGACCCTTTCCAAATGGTTTCTCTTCCTAAATCTTTTTAATTTTTTATCAAATGAATTATACAAATTGGGAACTTTTTGAGAATAAGCAACTATTTTAGCACTGCAGTAGGCAATGATGACCAACATGGGCAAAGTGTTTTGAAGGAGTCAAAAGATAACGCGACCGATAATTCTCAAGATGCAGTAAACTCAGGACCTGGAAAGGCCAAGGAAAATAACAAGCGGAAGAAAAAAAAAGAGAATTTGCAGAGGCATTTGAAAATTATCAGCTGAAAACATATGGGATCAAAACACAGGTTTCACAATTAAGAGGTGAAAATTCTTCCTTGGTAAAGCGCCTTATTGATGTAAGCCAAAAGTACACTGATTTTGCTGTTGACAACAGAATACTGAAAGCTGATGTTGAAACTTTGAGAGCAAAGGTGAAGATGGCTGAAGAGACTGTCAAAAGAATTACTGGATTGAATCCGATGTTTCACATCATGCCTGATATGTCATCAATGGGCATGCCTTCATTTGATGGAAGCACTTCAGACAATTCAGCTGACGCAGTTGTTCCTGTGCAAGACGATCCACATCATCACTTCTACCAACATACATAACAGAATTTTCTAAACAGAATTCTAAATAGCCTATTCCAAAATTAACCTGCAAACTGAATTACTAATTCCCATAACCAAATTCCAACAACTTACTAACAACCTCCATAACAAACTTCAACAGAAAATCCCAATTGTTTTAACAATACATAATAGAATTTTCTAAACAGAATGCCCAATTAACATAACCATCTTGTAACAAACTCTCAATCTCACCCTTCAATCCCTAACAAACTCTACTCAAATCAATGGTTCAGATTGATTCTCACATAGCCATTTCCATCTCCCTCAACTACCTATATAATCCAAACTCCCTCCAAGTTTCGAGGAGGAGGTGACTCTCTCTTTTTCAGTTCCGATACTTCACTCTCTCTCTCTCTCCACCATTTTATCGGTTTTAAAACATTTTTTCCTTCTCCATCATTCACTCTCCATTTTTCTGAACTCTCATCATCTTCATCTCCCTTTCATTCACTCACTTTTCTCTTTTTCTCTATCTCTCTCTCTATAAATTCCACTGTTCTTGACTCTTAAAAAAAATCACAAAACTCCTTTAGTTCTGAACTCTCATCATCTTCTTCAAAGACTTCAACGAGAATCTAGAAAAACTTTGTACATCATCAACGATTTCAAAACAAATCGCGCTCGGCTCAAGAACAACAGTGCATCACGCCACAACACGCACCAATAAACAGATCACGGTGCAGAACAGTCGATTCATAGAAGAAGAAGATTGAGAGGAAAAGGTCACGCATATGAGTTGAGAGATTCAAACCTGAATACACCAAGTAATACCGGATTTCTGTTTATCTTCATCATCCTCAAAGAACACCGGACCTCTCCGGTAGAGTTGTTGCTCGTTGAAAATCGGGGAAGGACGTGGAAGTTTAGAGGAGAAGGGAGATCGAAGAAAGAACGAAGGTGATGATATTAAGGAGACGGAGACCACGCGAGGTTTTATCTGAGAAGGAGATTAATGGTGAAGTTACGACAGTCACTGATCGGAGTGAAACAAAGGCGGTGGTTCGTTCACACGGCGCCGTTTAAAAGAAGAGAAGAAGGAGTCTACTGTCAATTCCAAAACGACCCCGTTTTTTTTTCTTTTTCTTTCTTTATTATTTTGTTAATTTTTTGTTTTGTTTTTTTAAATAATAATGACAAAACTTCTTTTTTTTTATATAATTTTTATTATAGTTAAGAACTTATCTTAATCTTCCTTATAAAAAAAAACAATAAATATATATATATATATATATATATATATATATATATATATATATATATATATATATATATATATATATATATATATATATATATATATATATATATATATATATATATATATATATATATATATATATATATATATATATATATATATATATATATATATATATATATATATATATATACATACATAAAATAAATCCGTAAGAATTTGTTAGTTTTTTAATACTTATTTGATTTCTCAGGAGTTAATCCGTTGGTTATCCGATTAGTTGAAATCCATGACTCACCTTTGTTTTCTCGAGACTTGAATCTTATGCAGGTTCAATATGCGACACGTGGATATGCTTGAGATTTCGATTGTGATTTGTTTTCGCATCTAAGACACTTCGACGCTTACTTCGAGTACTGAATTTCTAACTCTTTTCTTTGTTGGTGCTAGCAGCTCGCAAGAACATCAGGTCTCTTTACTTTTTTTGCTTTGCTCCACGGGCTAGTACTCATTTGGTATATTTTCTTTCTATTTTCACCTCGCATTTATCTCTACATAAAAGTCGTATGAAGTATAATAAAATTAGGTTAGAAATAGACTGGTTCCCCTGTGACTTATCCTTCCCTTTTTTACATATGCATTTAAAACAAAAACTTCTCCTTTTTTACAAACTTCAAAAATACATAAAAATTTACTGACAAGAACCATGTCTTGGCTAAGTTTGAGAGATGATAAGCGGGTCTCTTCTCGACCTTATTATTCTCTTGTTCTAAGCTTTGGTATGATTCAAGTCTCAAAGACTCATTTCATGAATAAGTAGAGACATGGCTAAAATCTCTCTCTTGAGATTAACTAGCCATTATCTACAAGCAAAAACACCGACAAATGCAAACTCTTTTTGCCTCTGGGCCTTCCTTTCAAACCTTTTTCAAAAGAACATGTTAACGCACTTCTGTGCTGACGCGTAAGTCTCCAAAGGTCGAGTTGCGGCAGAAGGCGAAATTATAATCATTCATTACAAAAACAAACAAAATTCAAACTTTTGTGCGTCCAGGCGCATTTCTTTCCAAACTTTTCAAGAGAGCATGTTAATTCACTTCTGTGCTGACGCGTAAGTCTCCAAAGGTCGAGTTGCGGCAGAAGGCGAAATTAATATTGTTCAGTAAAAAATACAAACAAACAAAAACATATAAGCCGAACTACGGCTGCTCTGATTCCTTAAAAGGGATACGTAGGCATCGGGGTAGGGTCCGAACGAGCACAACAATTTTATTTTCCCTACATTCTTTTTCTCTTTTCTTTTGCATGCATTCCCTTTAGTAGTATAATAAACAGTAAGCGTAGATTAGACACACCCATAAGATAGACAACAAGAGTGGATACCATAGAGTACTACGGGCGTGTGGGGTGCTAATACCTTCCCCTCGCGTAACAGACTCCCTTACCCTTATCTCTTGGTCATTCGATCTCGATTTCACCCTTCTCAGGTTTACTCGATGTTTACCTTTCCCTACATGTGGGATAAAAGACGTTCAATGGCGACTTCATTGTTTTGATGATTTTCAGCCGGTTGTTTCAGCTGGCGACTTCACTGGGGACAGGTCGACCAAATGCTGGTCCATCCCGGAGTCGCTCCTAGCTCTTGCTTTCTTTTCTTTAGGTGTTTATTTTTATGCTTTCAGTTTACTCATTGGTACATTTTTGCCTGAGCATAAGTTTGCATTGCATTTTATTGCTTTCCCTATTTGTTATCTATTATGCTGGACTCTGTTTTCCATGTTGGGTGGGGATGTCACTATTGAGGTAAAAGGCCTAGTACCCAGGCCAGAGTGCACTAGGACACTAGGAATACAGTGGGGGCATGACAGCTATAGGACGTGGTCCGATTAGTGCAGTCTTGTCATATACCACGCTCAGATGAGGTTCAAATGAATTACTATCGGCACCCACGTCTGTGG